CACCACCACCACCACCACCACCACCACCACCACCACCACCACCACCACCACCACCACCACCACCACCACCACCACCACCACCACCACCACCACCACCTCCTCCTCCTCCTCCTCCTCCTCCTCCTCCTCCTCCTCCTCCTCCTCCTATGCACGCAGCTTCAATTTCCCGATCGCGCATGACGCGACGGGGTCTTTTTGTGGAGTTCCAGGTCGGCGGTGACACGCGCCCGCGGATAGAGATCAGCGCCTCGGCGCCACGGGAAGGGACGCCGAGAGTGCAGGCGGAGAGGGCCTCCTGCCAAGGGGCCGCCGCGAGAGGCCGCCCGTGGTGGCCTCCCGAGCCTCCTCGTGCCCGCGGGGAGGCCCGAGGCGGCGCGAAGGCCGCGGGCGCCTGCCGCGAGAAGCGCCTCCCCTCTGTTGCTCCTGCTCATCCTGCTCGTGCTCCTGCTCCTGCTCCTGCTCCTGCTCCTGCTCCTGCTCCTGCTCCTCCTCCTCCTCCTCCTCCTCCTCCTCCTCCTCCTCCTCCTCCTCCTCCTCCTCCTCCTCCTCCTCCCCTCCGGCGCCCCCGATGAGCCCCCTGCGCCGGTGCGGATCGCCCCTGCCTCGCCGCCGACGAGAGGAGCGGCAGGACTCCCGGGCGCTCCCGGGGGGCCTTCCGGCAGGCCCTCTCGGGGCTCTCCCCCGGGCCTCCAAACGCCCCTCCAGGAGGGGCCGAGGCCTCGTCTCCTGGAGGCCCTATCGCGGGGCTCTCTCCGCTGGGGGGTGCTCCTGGAGGGCGTCGCGGGGCCCTCCTGCAGGGCTGGACCTGAGCGCTGTTTTTCAGAGCGTAGGTTACCTACCCCGCTTTCGCTTCCAGGCAAAACCAAGTCATGCCACGCGCCTCCTCGTCAAGCGGCCTGACCAGTACAGGCCGTAGTTTGGCATCGCTTGGTATCTCTTGGAAGCGAGGGTGGTCAAAAGCGAGGTAGGTTTGTTTTCCCCTTAGTTTTGCTGGACTCCGGTCGTGTCTTTTTCGTCGTTGCGGTAGGGAGGTGCAGGCCAACAGGCAGGGCAAGAGCGAAAAACGAGACGCAAAGCAGCGTTTGGGACCAGCCTTCCTTGCCCTCCTGGGCCCCTCCTGGGTCTTTCTTGTGGGGCGAAGTTGGAGCCGTCTCGGGGCTGTGGGCGATCACCGGAAGTGAAGCAGGGAGGAAGCAGCCATCATTCGACACCTTGGGATTTAAGTCGGGCACGTCCCTCTACAGGAGGAATTCTCAAAAAGAGTCGAACAATAGTCAGTTGACGAGCTTCGGACTATCTTTGCCTGATTTCGAGTATGGTTTGAATCTTTCTCACATTTCCTCCCAACTACTCCTGTAGGGAGAGGTCCGACCTGACCTTAGGTGTTGGAATCCTCTCGGCCTCTCGGAGACATCTGTGGGATGCTCCGTGGCCGCTCGGCGCCGTCTGAGGAGCATCACGTTGCCTCATGGAGGCATGTCGGACGCCAGGTAGGTCCCCGTGGAGCCACCTTGCGCCGTCTTGGAGGCCGTCTTGGGGTATCTGGGGCCCTCTTGGAGTCTTCTTGAGCGCAACTGGGGCCCTGGCCCCTCGGCCCCCCTGGTCTGGACCCAGGGGATGGGGTGCCTCCTCCTTCTCAATCTCTTCCTCTTCTTCCTCCTCCTCCTCCTCCCCCTCCACCTCGTCCTCTTCCTCCTCCTCCTCCTCCTCCTCCTCCTCCTCCGCCTCATCCTCCTCCTCTTCCTCCTCTTCCTTCTCCTCCCCCAGGGCGGGGGGCGAAACGCCTCCCCGAAGGGGAAGCAGGAGGTTGGAAGAGCTGGCTCCCGGAACCACCTACAGCGGAGACATTGAAACCAGGACCGCTGCAGACTCAGGAGGAGCTCTTGTCTTCTGGCCGTTCCTCGGATCTAGGTCGGGGAGCCTGTCCGAAGCCGAGGCTCGCCGTGGCCAGAAAAGTCCACTCGTTTCTCACTTACTCTGCACTCCCTGCAGAAGCACCCAGAGATCCGAGGATCTGTTTTTTAAATTTCGTTTTTTTGTTGTTGTTGGATCTCGGCCTTCGGGGCCCGTCACCAAGCCCACGGGCCATCAAAAGTGGATCTGGGACGGAAAGCCGCCCCTGGGGAAGGGGGGGCGGGACCTCTGGGGCCGCGGATTGAACAAAACCGCATCGACGGACGTCTGGGCACGAGGATCGGAGGGCACCAACTATACACCAACACCGATCCTTGCCAGGATCGGTGTTGGTGTATAGTTGGTGCCTTCCTAGAGGACTGTACGTCCAGGAAGGCCTGCTTGGAATCTACTCCAGATTTCGTAATAAAGGGAGGGGGGTCTCATTTAGGGGGGGGTCTTTTCCAGGCTATCTTGGAGAGCCTGGGGGGTCTGGGGACGATGTTTTTGAGGGTTCTCCCACGGGGGGGGGGTCTGAAATGGCTCGTCTTGGAGGGTCCAGACCCCCTCCCTTTTATTACGAAATCTGGAGTATAGTTGGTGCCTTCCTACGAGGACTGTACGTCCAGGAAGGCCTGCTGGGAGTCTGTCCAGAGGCGTCGACGTCCTCTCAAGCGGGCTGGGCGGGAGGCGCCCTGGGACGGAAAACCACCCCTGGGGAAGGGGGCGGGACCTCTGGGGCCGCGGATTGAACAACACCCAATCGACGGACGTCTGGGCACGAGGACTGCACGTCCAGGAAGGCCTGCTGGGAATCTGTCCAGAGAGGCGTCGACGTCCTCTCGAGCGGGGCTGGGCGGGAGGCGCCCCCGCCCGACACGGGCTCCGTGCGGCGAGACGCCCGGGCGTGCCGGGGACGGCGCCGCCGGACAGGGTCACACAGCATCGGGAAGAGCGCCTTCTGAGCACGCCGGGGAGGAGGCAGGTGCGGGAGGGGGGTCCGCAGGCCCTCCCACGCCCCGTGTCTGCACGCACGGAATGGGGACTGAAAGAATGGGTACAATGCCCAACAGCGGATCTTGTTCGGTTTGAACAGGGCTCGCTGTCCACGCCGCCGCGGCCTGTGTCCATTTGAGACAGAAGGCCGCCTGCCCAACAGCGGCCGCTGTTGGTTCGGGACAACATTTGCTGTCGGGCACTGTGCCCATTGTTTCCGTGCCCATTTCGGGCGTCCAAATCCGCAGGCCCCCCCACGCCCCGTGGTCGTGAACGGGCCCCAGGGCCGTCAAGAGATAGCTCGGGACGGAGAGCAGGTCCTGGGGAAGACGCCCGGATCTCGGGGGGAGCCGCGGTGTGAGGAAGTCAGGACGTCGGAGGTATGGATCGGAGTCGCCCCGCGGGCCCCGCTCGGTCAGCCGTTTAACGGGGGGCAGCCCAATCGCTTCTGGCTGACTCAGGTTTGGGGGCAATGTGGAGCCGACCACCCCGCCTTCAACGGGCCCCGGGGAGAAAGCCCAGGGGGGGTGGTTGATGGAGGTTTGACGACTTCTCCCCTCGGCACCGACAAGCGACGACGACGGCGAGGACCAGACCACGACGGCGAGGACGAGCACGATGTGTCCCGCCCGCCCGTCCGACCGATTCGCCGACGACGACGACGACGACGACGACGACGACGGCGACGACGACGGCGACGACGACCACGGTGACGGCGGCGACGACGACGGCGACGGCGACGGCGACGGCGAAGGGGGGTGTATTGGGGTGGGCTCTCGCCAGGGAGGGGAGGGGAACCAGCTCCAGAGAAGAGGGGGAGGGATTTTTTCGCGGGTGGGCGGTTCCAGAGCGGGGGAGGTCGGGACTTCACACTGTCAACTTCTACGCAGCTTGTACGCCTCAACACGCACCGTGCTCTCAAAAAGTCCGCGTCGATACGTTGCGTGTTGGCTCAACGTATTGACCCGCGTTTGGCGAATGCCTCGCGTCAGACCTACGTTTTCAGTCTACGTGTTGAGCTCCGTGTCAACACGCCACGTGTTCCGTGCTGCGTATCGGGGCAGCTGATGTGCGCAGAAGACGCTCTCGCCAACACCGCGTGCGCATGGCGGCAGTACACCTGGCGGTGCCGGAGAAAAACGGGGGAGCTCGCAGCCCCGCGCGCGGCCCCTCTGCGCTGGCCTCTCCTGCAGCTGCGCTCTTGTGCTGCAGGTCGGTCTCGATGTCGCCGCGACTCTTGTGGTGTGGTCTAGCACAGTCTCTCTCCCTCTCTCTCCCTCTCTCTTTGTTCTCTCTCTCTCTATGTTTTGTTTTTCCCTCTCTCTCTGTTCGGGGCAACGCAAGACTCGAGTTCGACCGAACGTGGGTTCGCCGACGCTTTTTGACGAGCCCGTTCTGGCTCTTGACGGTCCAGTCTTTTGTGGGGTGCCTGCAGCGGGAGCTCGCATCAAATTTCGGACTGGGTCTCGTCATTGCTCTAACGGCCCAGACAGGCCAGCCCGTGTCCTCCGAACTCGAGTCTTACGCCTCCCCGATCTCTCTCGCTCTCTCTCTCTCTCTCTTTCTCTCTCTCTCTCTCTCGCTTGCCCTCGCACTACAAGCCAGGGCGCGACAGTCAACCCGCATAATCAAGATGGGCATCCTTCCCAAGGGTACCCTTGCATCCTTGCCTCCTCGCTCCATCCTTGGCCACTTTCGTTGGCCGCGCCCCACTCGAAAAGCTTCGAAATGGGCGTCCAAGGCCCTTGCATCCGTACCTTGCATCCTTGCGATACGGGCCGACTGTAGCCGAAACTTCGGGCGATCGAAGCCAAGTGGCCGTCTGTTTATTCGTTGCATTGACGATCGGCGCGGGCCCTCGCACCCCTCCCTCCCCCACCCCATGGAGTAGATCTTGGCTGGTTTTTGGCGCCCGTTTCTCCCCCGTAATGGACGCATTGCTGCAGCACGGGGTGGGGGCGCTATGCGTTGCAGGCTCCCAGGGCGTGACAGGCGGGGCATTTCGTCGACGCCACAAGGGGGTGCGCTGGGGGTGGGGCCGCTATGCGTTGCAGGCTCGCAGGGCGTGGCAGGCGTGGCATTTCCTCGACGCCACAGGGGGATGCGCTGGGGGTGGGGGCGCTATGTGCTGCAGGCTCGCAGGGCGTGGCAGGCGAGGCATTTCCTCGACGCCACGAGGGGATGCGCTGGGGGTGGGGGCGCTATGCGTTGCAGGTTCGCAGGGCGTGGCAGGCGTGGCATTTCCTCGACGCCACAAGGGGATGCGCTGGGGGTGGGGGCGCTATGTGCTGCAGGCTCGCAGGGCGTGGCAGGCGTGGCATTTCCTCGACGCCACAGGGGGTGTGCCGGGGATGGGCAGGGCATTCGAATGGGGCGCTCGAGGCCACGCTCCTGGCTTTCTGTTGGAGCGGGTGCGCAGGGAGTGCGGGCCGTGCCGGTCGCCCAGGTCGCAACGGGCGTAGCATATTCTCGACACCATAGGGGTTGCGCAAGGCGTGATCTCTGGGTGCGACCGTTTTCCGTGACGGTCGTCCAGGGCATAGCGGGCGTGGCATATTCTCGACACCGCTGGGTTCGCAGGGGGTGGTCTTTGAGGGCGGCCGTTATCCGTGACGGCCGTCCATGGCATAGCATTGTGGCAAGTTCTCGACACCATATAGCAGGACATAGCAGGCATGGCGCATTCTCGACACCATATAGGGGGTGCGCAGGGGGTGATCTTTGAGGGCGGTCGCTATCCGTGACGGCCGTCCATGGCATAGCATTGTGGCAAGTTCTCGACACCATAGGAGGTGCGCAGGGGGTGGTCTCTGGGTGCGGCCGCTATCCGTGACGGTCGTCCACAGCATAGGGGTTGCGCAAGGGGTGATCTCTGGGTGCAGCCGTTTTCCGTGACGGTCGTCCACAGCATAGAAGGCGTGGCAGGTTCTCGACACCATAGGGGTTGCGCAAGGGGTGATCTCTGGGTGCAACCGTTTTCCGTGACGGTCGTCCAGGGTATAGCGGGCGTGGCATATTCTCGACACCGTAGGGGATGCGCAGGGGGTGGTCTCTGAGGGCGGCCGCCATCCTTGATGGTCGTCCAGGGCATAGCAGTCGTGGCATATTCTCCCTGGTCTCCACCCTGCTCTCCTGGGATTCTGAATCGTCTTAGGTTTTTGCCCTTTCTGGGCCCCCTTCTGGGTAAGTTCCATTCTGCAACGCCCAGGCTTCAATTTCACCAGCCAGCTGGCGGGGTCAAATGTGCGGATCGCCAGTAACGCTTAGGCTTTTACCGTTTCGGGCCCCCCTCAGGGTACTCAGGCTCCCAAGGCATGGCCAGGGCCACCAACGGTATCGGCGAAGCAACGGCCACCAGCATCATTCTTGCAAGTTTCACGTCAGCTATCATCACGCCAGACATGTTATAAGTATGTGGGGGTTCCTCGGTAGCGTAATTTTCATCCCGCAGCCGCCAGGGCGCGAAAGTGTCCCCTCGAGTATCGACATCGGGGAAACACGCTTGTTGGCAGAATCATATCGTCGGAGATTTGGGAGCCTCGACCCCCCTTCCTCGACCCTCGCCCCTCCCTCCGTCCAGCAACCGCCGACCCGCGGGCCCCCACGACACCCAGATGCCAGGGAAGGGGGAGGGGGAGTAGGAGGAGGGAGGAGGGAGGGCCGGAGGAGGGATCCCGGGGGGAGACTGGAGGGAGGGGATATGAGGGGGGAGGGGGGAGGGTGGAGGGAGGGGGACTTGAGGTAGGTGGGAGGAGGGATGGGGGGAGGGGGGAGGGGGGGTGGGAGGGGGGATGGAGGGGGATTAGGAGGGGGAAGGGAGCAGGGACGGAGGGGGTAGGAAGGAGGAGTGGGGGAGGGCGGGAGGGAGGGAGGGAGGGAGTGGGGGAGGGGAGGGTGGAGGGAGGGAAACATCCTCGACCCTCCCTCCTCCCCCTGCCCATCCGCTGCTGTTCCCCGCCAGCGCCCCCCCGCCAGCGCCCCCCCCGCCAGCGCGTCGGCGGCTCGAGGCGCCGCTTCCGCCCAGGCGCAAGCCGGCGGCTCCGGGCCCGACCCCGCCCGGCCGCTGCCTCGTCCTCCCAGGCGCGCGCGGGAAGGGGCCCGCGGGGGGAAAGCACATGGAGATCGGGGGCAGGGAGGGGAGAGGCTTGCAAGGAGGGGAGGCAGCGGGGGATGGGGGAGGCAGATAGAGGGATGTGCACCATACTACGGGGAGGACGCAGGAGAGGGGGGAGGAATGAGGAGCTTGGGAGAGGTCGAGCGGTCGCGACGGCGCACGGAGGTGTCAAGCCGACGTTCAAGGATCAGGGGGAGGCGGATGAGCAGGAGGAGGAGGATGAGGGCGGATGATGCGTGGAGAAAAATGGTCGAGGAGGGAGGGAGGGAGGGGGAAGCAGGGGGAGGCGGATGAGCAGGAGGAGGAGGATGAGGGCGGATGATGCGTGGAGAAAAATGGTCGAGGAGGGAGGGAGGGAGGGGGAAGCATGGAGAGGAGGGAGAACCGAGGCAGGAGTGGAATGAGGGTGGGAGACGGCAGGGGGCAGAGGGAGGAGGGAGAGGGGGAGCGAGAGGGAGGGAGGAAGGAGGATGGAGGAGGGAATATTGATGGGATGGTCAACCAAAGAATGTCCCCGAGCACCGCCGACAACTTCCTCCCCCCTCC